TGTGTGTGTGTGTGTGTGTGTGTGTGTGTGTGTGTGTGTGTGTGTGTGTGTGTATGTGTGTGTGTGTGTGTGTGAGAGAGAGAGAGAGAGAGAGACCTGCAGCATGCAGCATGTCAGTGGCGGGGAGCACAAGGGCAGGCGCTGACCTACAAAAAAAAAAATAATAATAATTTTATTGGAATACAAGAGTTTTTCCTTTTCGAAATCCAAATAGAAAGGGTGCACGTTGTATTCGAATACAACGTGTATATGTTCTATTAAGGTGCTTTTCTATTCGAGAAAAGTGGACGCGCGCCGTTTCAAATTCGAAAAAGGTTTAAGGACCGTGGTCTCCTCGGCCTCTTATGGGCAGCTACCGTCCTACGCGATCCTTGCCCTTGCAAGGCCCCAAAACCTCAAAATGTCCACCCTCCCGACGACCACCGACCTTCAAATTTGAGTGACGTTGAAATGTCTCAAGGGGGGGAAACGCAACCCTAACGGGCTACGAACACGGCTGAAGAGGAAATGGTTCGTGAAAAAAATCTCTCTTTACCGAGGGCTACAGACTTGACTACAAAAGACAATGACCGACTCAAGGAACTGGTAAGGATGTGTTACCACGACAGAGTCATGCCCACCGGCATCGATCAGGGTGAAATGATAATTGAAGGCAAGAAGGTGAGATTTAAAGTCAACGCGACATTGAACCAGACAAAAATTGCATGGCTCAAGGAACACATTGTTACGTTTATCTTCAGAGATGTCTCACGCTTCTGACCGAAAAACGTCAAGAACGACATCATTCATGCCTACGAAGATAAGAAGGTTGTAGAAGGAAGTTTTGTGACCTATTCATTCTAGCGGGGAAGGGTTGAAATCGAGTCTCCAAACGTGGTTTCATACATTGCGAAATCACGGGAGATCGCTAATTGGCCCATGAACACAGACTCGGATGAGCTCTCCCTGCGCACACAAAACTACGTCTTCGAGTTCAAGCCCTGGCTAACCAAGGCACAACTCCTTACTCAAAGGAGACTGAAAGATGAAGGAAACTTATGGGTGGTAGCAGTTAAAATTTCACTCGATGTGTTCCTCTACTAGGAAGTTCAGATCAGGCGTGCGATAAGACCAGTATTGCGATCCCATCCTCCAGAACAAGACACAATGAAGTTGTCATTAGTGGATGTCAAATTTAATATTGATCCTTCCCCCAGGGACAACATGAAAAACAAGATTTGGATTGATACCCCGGAAGGAGATTCACTAGAAGTCAAGTTGGTGTCATCACTCATTGCTCGATGTAGACGATGTCGGGCTTTCTTCCACTTTGAAAACGAATGTAGCGCAATCCAAGGCAACAGAACCAACCCATAGTGAGAGGTCCAGTGAACCTACAAGCACCTAGAAGTCAAATTTCATTTTCGGTTCCTCTCTACTCCGGCTCACTCGGCCCAGGTGGAGCAACAAGCTCGAACGGCAACGCAACCACGAGATCGGTGGCAGTTTCTCAAGCTGCTATGTAAGGCCCAACCATGCCCGTAGAGTCGTTGCTCAATCCCACATTCTCCTTTGGTCTATTTTCATACCCAAGCAGAACGAACCATGGTAAGACCCCACGTTCATTCAACGAACGCGTCTACCACCACTATAGTTGGTATACCATAGCTTGCCTACGGTTGTATTCAATATGCAGGTCCTGCTCCAACGGGCGATTTCTAACATTCAGAGGAAGGATACCAACGAGCAATGTCGAGCGCATCGGCTCCCGCCTTTTTTGCAAAAGACAAAGACTCTTTTCGTCATGTCACGTAAGAGTTAAACAAAACTTAAACAAAGACAACTTAGAGGGCAACGCAAAATAATTTCGTGACTCACTGAGATGGGTGTAGTTGCATTGTTCCTTTGCCTCTCTAGCCGGGTGCACCAACCGTACTTCCCGCGGTTTAAAAAAACGAAAGAACATAGCCTATTTATCTAACCCTCGGTCGTAAAAACTTTACAGTCAATATTTTTCCGTCGTAAAAAACTCTAAATCGTGCAGCCACCTAGCCGCGTGTTATAAAAAATTGAATTTCACCCCCACGCGCGACCAACCACGAGAGTGTCTGATCAAAAGTCTGTGCCTAAAAACTTGATTATCAAAACCACTTTTGACACTCAACCTATTCTTGTTAGTCAAAATCCTAACATTCATAAAAAAGTGTCCGCCATGGAAAGTTTTCGGCCAGATACCCTTGTCAGGGTTTTTGGGCCAACATCAACTCCAATGGATTCTGTTTGTGGCACATCTCCAAGTAAAAACAAGCATCCGAGGAAACCTATCCCCTCCTCAGTCCGTAAGATGATACTGCTCCACCTTTTGTGACCACAGGGCACGATTCGCGGTAATTTAGATTCAGTAATTAATTATCAATAACCTCATTGCAGTGAAGTAGGATCATTCCTCTTTCCATATAGTAATTGTCATGGTAACAAATTATTGTTCTTAGCTTCTCTCTGGTTTTCTACTACTTCATTTTTGTGGTTGACTGTCGGTCTGGCCAATAAAGGGTAGAGTAACATCATTCTTTCTGGTCCGAGTAGGAAGATCCAGACAACTCACAAATGGTTAACGGGGACCCCCATTTTCAGGCCCTGGGTAACGAGTCCAAAACTGAAATTAGGGTTTCAGGGCTAAAGTTTATGTTTCTTCCCTGTTCTTGTTTTGGTTCAGCGTTTGTGTGTGCCAAATTTTGTGTCATTTGGAGAATTGAAATTTTGTCTGTTAAGATTTTTTTAATTTATCAAGATTTCTGAAATTGAGATGTTGGCGAAATTTTATGAAAATGCACTTTTGCTTTGTTGTTTTATATATATATATATATATATATATATATATTTTTTTTTTTTTTTGCGGTTAGTTAGTATAGTCTCCACTCTACGAATTGGTGGCAAGTTTGATTAAAATGACCTTTTGGTTTTCATGTAAATGACATGGCAAGTGGTCTAAAAATTAGGGTCTTCGTTAACATTTTCTTCCAACTTTACGATAGAAGATGCAGTTGTGCACGAAAAATAAATATAGAGGACAACACGAACCACAATTTTACACGCTTCTAGCGAGTTTTGAATTGTCATGAGAAAGCAAGGGATAGTGAAACTAACCACTGTCCGCCTTGCCCCTATCTTAGCAGCCCTTCCACTTATCAATCTCATAGAAACACCCCTCACCTTTGGAGATTCAACCTTTACTCAATGATATGCTGGGAGTGTCAATGATGGAAAGAGAGGTAGAAACTCTTGGGTCTTCAACCAGACGATTTGTTCGACATTTTCATCTTACATGAACAATATGAGGGAACCAACCCACCATCAAATGGATCCAAGTACATAGCCTACAAATGCAAAGGTATAATCCTCGAAGCAATCTGGCGGCGAAAAAATGATCTTCTGTTTAAAGGTGAGAGAAACAACCATAATCAAACCTTCAACAGAATCATGTTAGAGATTCACATCATAATTATCATCGATGGACGCTCCAAGGGAAAGCTCTGGTTTATAAAGACTTGGGCTCACAACAACATTTTTGCCTCTTTCAACAGTGAAGGCAAGATGAAAATAACGCACTGACTTTCAGATTCGTGACCATCTGCTTACTGCTTTGGCTATCGAACCGGCTCGCAAATGATTACAATGAAAAAAATTCCTATAATTAAATAATTATTTTATAGTAAAATTACAATCTAAATTTTAAATTTTTATTCTAGTGAAATATTTAACATTTTCAATGATTCTTTTTCTTT